TACATCATATATGGTAATGTATATATAGACTGTAGACACACATATAAAGGAGAATATATGAACAGAACTATCAAAATACAAAAAAAGAAGGGTGAATGTAATAGAGATCTGAAAAAAGTTACCTTCCTTTTTTCATCATAAATGTGGTGAAATACAATAAAGGCGTACAGTTATTACACGTCTTGCGGTTTTACACTACATGACCTGTGACAGGATTACAGTCACGGCACACATAAACGAGACACAAGTAATTATAGTGGCCATTTTGATCTTTGGCGATCTTCTACGAATCTACGCCATAAAACTTGTAATTGGGTTGTAAAGTAATCAATAAGAATATTCTGGTTAAAAGTTGAAATTTGAATCATATCTCTTCTAGGAAATTGTTAGAGTTGATAGGTTGTCAATCCAATCAAATATTTTAGGGAAAATTACTCTGGTAACGTTCACTGTTAAGAGCTCATGTGTTATTGAATTAGAATCAATTTTTTTCTGAAGATATTCCAACTCTTGCTTTTATTCAAACAAAATGATTGAACTCACTGTAAAAACGATGGATTCTCAAAATCACCAATTTAGTGTTGAAGATGATGTAAGTAAACATTTTGAATTTAGAAATAATGGATTTACAATTTTTTCATTTTTAGATTACTGTGGAACAGTTCAAGGCTAGAATAGCAGAAACAGTCAATATTCCTGCAGAAACACAGCGTATTATTTACTGTGGAAGGGTTCTTCAAGATAGTTCGAAACTCTCAGATTATGGTATGAATCTATTGAGTGTCCATTTAAAAAAATCTGAGAGTTGTCATTTATTAGATTGATTTTTGTGTCATTGGTTCTTAACTAATATCCTTTCTTATATGAATTTAATTTAATTTCTGAGAACGAACTCTACACTTTAAGAAAAAGTTTATGCCATTTACATATTTTTATCTGCTGATCTCGAATCTGAAGTCAAAATTTGACATTTCCGCCTACTTTCGGAGATGAAGCCTCTCAAAAGTCAAATCTCCTTGAAAATGGCCTTTTTCTATTTCAAAAATTCACTTATGGTATAAAAACTTGTGAAGTGTCACATTCTTTATGCACCTATTTCAAATATTTTCACACAATAAAAAACTTATTTCAGAAAAATTACCCATTTTTGGATTCATATTTTTAGTCGCTTCACTGGTCATTATTTGTTGGCATTATCATTGAAAGTCGGGGTCAAGAAATGAAAATAATATTGCCAAATTTCAAAAAATTTACTCAACTTTGCCGTAGAATACCAAAAGAACATCAGTTTATTTAAATTTTTCTAATTCGTTAACTTGTAAAAAGTACTTAGTTGTCAACTTTGCGCCAGTTTTGGTTGGTTGTGGTTGGTGAAACGCGCGTCGAGAAGAGTATTTCACTTTTGATGATTGGGATCAGTGCTTGTTTTACATTGGAAATACTGTAGAATAAAATTATGGAATATATTTTCTTATCAGATTAGATTATAAGGAACCAACTAGCAAAAAACCATATTAAATGTATTGATGTTGTACAAACTCAAACTTTGCCCCTTGAAAAACAAATTGAAATAGTCAAATTTGATTTTTTGAATAAACAGTGATCAACAATTCATAGATATATTCAAAAAATTTAAGGGTTTCAAATATTAGATCAAATATTGTAAAAAAGCGATTTTTTTTTCATATAATTTTACTATGTTACTGAATATTTGTTTCCCCAGTATAAACATTGTATGGGAAATTACATTCTTGTTTTTGAGAAATAAATGATAATGGTCATTGATAAATAACAGTGGTCAAACACTCTCTCAATCGTTTTTGTATGAAATTGCATTCGAAAATGGAAACAATGGAATGATTTATTGAACATTGTTGAGTCATATTAGGCAGATAAGTTCGATAGTGATTTATGAGAGAGCATACCTTGCAAATATAAGAGCTATTAGTGACCTTCAAGTGATATAATTTTCACAAATACTTGAAAAGAGAAGCAAACACAATACAGTTTCACTCTAAATGGAGTACAAATTGGTCATTGGCATAAAATATCTATACCATCAAATGGCGTGAAAGAATATACAAGGTCTGTTCAAAAAGTAAAGTGAATTTTAATTTTTCTCAAAAAATATTTATTTATCAATTTCTATTTTGTCACCTTCAAAGTAATCCACCTCAGATATATTACACTTGTGCCGGCGTTTCAATCCTCAAAACAGTTCTGATATGCACTTTTTGGTATGTCCTCAAGCTCTCTCAGATATTCGGTTTTTATCTCCTAAATCGTGAGTCTCTTCAATCTTGGGAACAGGAAAAAGTTGCAGAGGGCCAAATTTGGTGAATACGCTGGCTGATGAATGATTACAGTGTTGTTTTTGCCAAATTATGAACAAGCAATGACTAGTGGGCAAGTGCATTATCGCGATGCAATAACCATGAATTGTTTTTCCACAATACCGGACGTTTTCTTCCTATTGCTTCTCGCAAGCGGAGCATAACTTCACGATAATATTCCTTATTGACAGTACAACCATGTGGCAAGAACTTCTGATGCACTATGCCACGGAGAATAAAACAGAGAGTTGTTCGAACTTGGTGTGCTGTTTTTGTCTTGGCTCTCCTGGGGTCTTCCATTTCTGTTTCAATGTCATAACCATATATCCATGATTCATCACCAGTTATGACTCTAGTGAGCAAATCTGGATCGCCGTTGACGTCATTCAACAATTCCTCAGCGATGCTCATGCGACGATTTTTTTTAAATAAAAATTCAGCAATTTTGGAATGAGCTTCACTGTCACATGCTTCTTGTCCAAAATTTACGAAAGCCAACCGATATGCTAACATTCGAGATGAGTGTACCAATATGAAAAAATAAAAATATCGAATGTACGTAGATTTGTTATTGAAGAGTGACAGTATATTAGTATTCGAATATTTTATTTTATCAACACTAGGTTTAGGCTGATTTTGATGAGGTAAAGCACAAGTTGTTTTTTATCTCGGCTGAACATCTGTTTATGAATTACTTCGAAAGCATGTAATACACTACTTGAATATGTTTATGCAGAACTGCCTTGAGCAAATAGAGATAATTGATAATCTTACAGAAGGTATATGTTTGGATTTTAAAAATGCTTCACAAAATAGTTATATTTTATTTATATTATTATATGTATTCAATGAGTGGAAAGAGTTTTGCCTTTACAGAAGTTCCACAAAAGATTGTACTGTGTCTTGTTTCAGTATTGTACAATGTCTTGTTTTAGTAAAACATTTTAAATATGAAAGGCTATAGATTAGAGAACTTCATATATCTCAGTTGTAATAATTTGAAAACTTCTGTGACAAACTTCATTCTGCATTTTATGAAGTTTTCTCTCTGTATATCTGAGAAACTTTGCACAATTGAGGATGAAACCTATTAGTAACAAAACTTTACATGAGTATCACACCTTATATCTCGCCAGCATTGTTGCTTTTGTGAGATAAGAAAATTGAAAGTATGTCTTTTATTGCCAATGATTGCCGATGATTGATTTTAACAGATCAGATTATGGCAGCAAAAAACATGTCTTTATTATACTGTAATAAAAATGTGTTCCAAGTGATTTTCCAAATCATAATTTCATATTTGAATAAAAGAATACAGTTCAGTGATATGCTGTCTCAGAACTACTTTGTTCAGGTGAGACTACCTTATTGCACATTACTTACTGACAAGTTTTTTCGCAAATATGCTCAACAATATTGTTGAAGTGCCACAGTACTTTATCCTCTATATCAATTTTTTTGGGGGGTATCTTGTTATTTTCGTTCACTTAAAAGTATGTATTCCATTTATCACTGCAGATGTCAATGGAAAAGTTGTACATCTGGTTCATAGACCACCGCCAGGTATGAATCCAAGACAAAGTAGTAGATCTTCTTCGCCGCAACCGCAGAGAAGGGGTTTCAGAGGTTTCAGGACGATGGAACAAGGCAATGCAATGTATCTTGGTTCTGTGGCATTTCCTGGAAATTTGATGGAGTCTCAAGGAATAGTTCCTCCACCTCCTACACACAGTCTATCAGGAAGCCGTTTAAACGTTGCTAGAAGGTATAAAACTTTTTTTTCAAATGTTATTTTTAACAGGCGATATGACTTATCATTTTTATAATATTCTGTTGATTCCCTACTAATATTATAAATGCGAATGTAAGTTTGTTTGTTATGGTTTCACGTGAAAACTACTCAACCGATCATTATGAAATTTTGTACATATGTTCATATTTTTCTAGTGGAAACGATAGAGAACAGTTCACAACAAAACACGCAACTCAGACTAGTTTTTGTCTGTTTGGTGGAATTCGAGTTTCGAGTTTGTTTTTGAAACTAAAACAAGTTTATTGTTTCTGTTTTTGAAAACCAAACTAGTCGCAAGCTAGTCCATTTGGCGGAAATCCTTCTTTATATGTCAATTGTTGCTATGATTTTGAAGTGACTTCATTTGAATTCAATTAGTGTCGTTCTTTTATCATATTTGTCATTTGTCCTTTAGTAAGATATGTATATTTTCTATGTTTTTCAAACTGTTTCTTTTTTAATATATTCTCAAAAAACTGATTTGAAAAACAGCTCATGCTCATAACCTGTATTTTAATCGAATGTAAGTTTGTTTGTTACGGTTTCACGCAAAAACTACTCAACCGATAATCATGAAATTTTGTACACATGTTCTTGGAGGTATTAGAAGTAACATAGGATACTTTTTGTTAAAAAATATATTTTTTGTGAAAGGTAAAAGAATAGAAAATTATTTATTTTTGTTACAGTGAAATATATTTCAACATTTGTTGTTGCAATTCAATAAAGCATATTTTAAATTTTTGAAACTTCATCTTATGTAATGATTTTAAAAAATTGATAATCCCAGCCAAGCATTAAAATATAGTTCTCATATTGATTCATTTCTATTGTACTGACACTTATTTAACGACATAAATGCGAGCGAAGCCGCGAGTAAAGGCTAGTTAAAAATAAATTTAAACCCATAACCTTCAAAATGATTCACATGAATTGGTTACAATTTCTCATCGGATTTGATTTTTTTCAATACATGGTTTACAGAATGTTGAGGAGAGCAGAGGCAGTTTTACAACTATTAGAAAATCCCTCTGCCAGATCTCTGGAACCATCTACTGCTGAAGAAAATCAAGAAGAAGAAGAGGTAACGCCAGTAATTGAAGCGAGAGTGATTATTCCTAACAACACTGATCCAATTGATGAAGTTCTCAGCGTTGTTCAGAATAGCGTTATAACTGCTGCAACTAATACTGTGTATGTGGAAAAAATATATTATCTCGTTTTGAATTACTTATAAGTGTTCATATCTTTCAGACCTCCCAATACAGCCAATACGGATGGTGGTAGCAGTGCACCTCCCAGCATCACCGAAAGTGCTCAGAGATCTCCAAATCAGTCGGAAACTTCTACTCCTGGCGGTGTGACACCAAGATCTTCATCGACTGAAAATCTCAATGCAGAACCCAGACCAGACAGTGGTTTACCAGAGTAGGTTGTTTTTATTTTTCTACGATTGATTTGGATATAAGAATAGTTTCTTACTAGTTATACCAATATCAGTTGGTAATGATAAAATCCCAATAACAGTATTGAAATACGTTGAACATGAACTATCAAAAACCCTAACACTGAATATAAATATGATGATGAAAAAAGGAATTCTCTTGAAATTGCTAATGGAAAAGCAGTCGCTTTGAAGATCTGACGAACTAACGATTCTTTGAGGGGTGCCACAGGGATATTTTCTGGGGTCTTTACTCTTCATTTTCTATATTTACCAAAGAACTTTAATTGAAAATTAAAGTATTAGAAATACTAAAAATAATTAGAACCGAAATATTCGGATCATTTACTTCGAACGAAACTGAAAAAATACTGAAAAAAATGCGGATGAAATAAAATATAAGTACTGTAATTTGTAACAAAAATACATGATTTTGACCAGAAATGAGAATGAATTATTAAACGGGTTAAACAATAAGTGAAATGTCAATTATATGCAAAGAAATATAATGAACCAAACTACTTGAAGACGTTTCGTTTTTAGTATGATCTTCGTGTGATTACAGAAGTGATGTTCATATTTTGATCTGAAATAACAATATCTGCATGCTGATAGTAATTTGTTTTTTTTTATGGTATTCGTAGTTGAAAGGAAGAATTTTTACTGATGATGGTGTTACTCAAACAGCTGATTGAAATAACTTCATTCGAAATGAGTTATGTTTATTGTTCTTAGATTTGCTGTGTTTTGAATTTTCGGTTGTGAATTTGTGAGAGTAATGTTTTTTGATGGGATTATGATAAATATGAGAAATTAGTAAAATAAGCTACTTTTTCTAATGAGAAGCAAAGGAAACCACAATGATTTGTGGAAATTGCACACTGGACTTTGATTCTGTTTGACCATCTGACTTTGTTCATAACTGGATGATGAACTTTCCTATAATACATTTATTCTTTATGACACGTTCAACAGGCATTGTGTGCATTCATTGAATCAAACTAATGAATTATCTATCCATACTTCTTTGACGCTATTTTATTATTTAGAATGAAGAATCTGATTATGTTTGTTATGTTCACCTAATATTAAAAATATTTTGTTGCCCAATTTCAGAAATGCATCTAGAACATCTGAAATGGCATCATTGTTGACTATGCTGGGACAATTGCAAACTAGATTTGCTCCTTTTCTGCAACAGTACCAAAATTTCATGGTAGAGGATCCTGAAATGTCGAATGAAGTGAGTTTATTATGAAGAGTTTTTGTTAAGGATTATAATAGATTTGTGATGCACTGTTTGGAATCTTTGATGTAGTAATGAATATTACTGGAGTTTTTTTTTCCAACACCAAACAGTTATTTTAACACCTCTACATGTGTTTCGATCATCAAGTGATTATCTTCGAAGGGAAGTTTTGATTTTCCTCTTGAAGATGGTCACTTGGTGATCGAAACACGTGTCGAGGTGTCAAAATAACGGTTTGGTGTTCGAGATTAGAAAAAAGTCACGGGGAACCCATATTCATAATTTTTTTCTTTACAACTACTACAACTTGAAACACTTATTTTGGACAAGAAAATCTCACACAACTGAATTAGCCATATTCAGTTGTGATGAACTCCTACAAAAAAAAACTGTCTACATTTTCAAAACCGCTCAACTCGACAGCAACAAACATTTTATGTACCATTTTATCATTTGAACCACACATTCTCAATAGCTGCAATCCAAGAATCTTACGATTAGCCAATAGTAACGTTGATCTTGATATGTTTAACATCTCCTCTCATCATTTTCAAACTCAATTACGGAATACTGTGCTTCAATGTTTTGGTGCAGGTGTCTCCAAACTACGGCCCGCGGGCCAAATCCGGCCCACCAGTGTCATCAATCCGGCCCGCAACAGCCAATGATTTACTGTCATCAATCTGGCCCGCGACAGCCAATGATTACCTAATTGTTGTTACTATTGCTGTGATAAGTTGAAGAAGAAAACACAGAATGATAAGTACTCGGTTTTATTAACTTGCAAGTTACAACTTAACGACAGAAATGATGACAAAGAAAACTTAGTATCTAAGTTTAAGCATATTAATAACTAACGAATAATTGAAATGAATCACAGTAAAACAAAAACACTAATGAGATTTATGTAATTGTGATTTTCCACCGACGATCCTTTGTAGTTGTGGATCCATTTTACTTGTACCAAAAGAGATTTAAGATGCTCATCGGTTAATTGAGATCTGTAAACATTCTTTGTGTACTTCATCTTGGAAAACGTTTTCTAACACAAGTAAGTAGTACCAAAAACAAAACACAAGCAAATTTATGCAAATTATCAAATTAGTCCAGTGGAAGACTTATAAAATTCCAACAAAGATGAATTTTGATATTTGTTCTTATGCATATCACTGCACCGTAATCAATAATTTCCATTTGGACTTCCGGAGCCAGGGTTTCAATGTCAGAATCAAAAGATTTTATTGACGGGTGTTACTTTATTTCACAATAGACAGTTTCGCTTCCTTTGCCTTTCCTACGCAGACTAACTCGCAGTTGTGCCCCTAGCCTTTTTATATGCAATTATTACTGCCATCTTGAGGTGATCGGATTACACTAGCTAGAACCAGAACATTCTCGAACCAACGCGGTAATTTCAAATATTTAATTAAGCCTAATGCCACCTAGCGGGTAGCTGAAAAAGATAGTACATAGTACCACTACTCGCCGCAAGATGTCGTTAAGTGTCACAATACACAATAATAATTGAAATGCAAAAAAGCGTAAGTTTGCTTAGGTCACGCACTTTGCGACTATCCTGGTCTAGAAATATAGTTAAGGGCAGAAATTGGCCCTTGGAACAAACTGAAAAAATCATTATGGCCCGAAGGCTTCAAAGTTTGGAGACCCCTGTTTTAGTGTATAGTTTAAGGTAGTATATGTTTTATTGTCGCTCATTTTTTTTTGGCGTTTCATACTCTAAAATTAACCCCTTTGAAAACTTGAAATTTACTTCTTTTAAGCTATTTTTAGTTGCAATTTGTAATTCAGTATCTGATTTTTTATTTTTATTTGATTTTGAAATAGGGTGTTAACTTGGGTATTGTAACTTGTGCAATAAAATTTTTTTCAGTTTGCAAGAAAATATGCGTATAAGTTGATTGGTTTTTGTTTGATTTTTAGTTGTTGATTTTTTTTTACAGAATCTTCAACGACAAACTCAAACCATATTGAATCGTGTATCAGAAGTTATGCACTATTTGGGTCACGCTTATCATTCTCTGAGCGACATTATAATACGTGTTCGTACGCCTCCGCCTCGACCTCTCCTATGTCGCCCAATTCTCATCCAACACTCGGCGGTAGTTCAAACTGGAATTCCCGTACAAGTAGAGGTAAGCATTGCAATCGCCATTTTATATAAGATCATAATGTACTATCATTCAGACTCAGATCAACCTGTCTGCCGATCGTCCTCCTGCTGCAAATGCCAATCAAACAATCAACGCAACAACCACCGAGGCAAATACCACAACTACGACTACAACAGCTTCTTCAACACCAAATTTGAACGCTCCGGGCGGTACTCCAATGATATCCGTTCAACCTGGTTTCGTAGGTCTACCATTTATGCCGGGTGCGCATATGAGAGTTCAGTCATTCCCTGTTGAGATTCGTGCTATGAGATCTGCCACAGCTACTCCGAGACAACAAAATATTAACAGTAACAGTGGGAATACTGAACCTGTTGTTGGAACTACTCCGACGAGTGGCGCGAACAACGCAACTGCGAACTCAGCGAATGGAGGCAATTTGGCAAATGCCCAAGGAGCAGCGATTAATTTCGGCAATCCTAACGTCGAGTTGTTCATGGAAGTTACGCCAGAAGGTATTACAATTGATTCTTTGGAGACTACGCTTGTTGGTTCTAATCAGGCAAATAATTGTAAGTGTCATGTAGTCTTGTTAACTCCCACTTGCATGTTATTTTTTGTTACATATCAATTTCTTTCGGACGAATTCCGATCGGGAGTATTATTGCTGTTTTAAAACTATGGGGGATATTTCAATGATACCTAATCTAGCTCCCGAATATACAAGTTTCATTTGGAAACTAAATTATCCCGTGTAATTGATTTTTTGTAACTATCAAACGGTGGAAGTTTTGGTCTCTACTGCAGTGCAGTATATTTCTTGAGGATTCATCTCTGAGCCATAAAACGTCAGCCTGGACTTGCGGAAATACATATTTCCTTTCTTTGGATCCCCCATGGAAAGTGAGTGAAAAATGAGACATGAAACTTCCTATGTATTCCTTGTATTTGTAACTAACTTTACTGCAGTTTTGTCCTATAAGGACATTTTCAAACTGAAACAATGAATGATACAAAATTAATTGTATGTTGAAAAATGAGAGATAAAACTTCGTATGTTTTCTTACCACTTGTATTTGTAACTAACTTCACTGCAGTTTAATCTTTTAAGGACATTTTCAAACTGAAACAATAAAGTGAAATAATTAACAACGTTAACTCTTATGTATATATACACCACTGTAGGTAATAACAGACGGTCCTCAACTTAACTGAGTACCTGCATTTTTTCCCTGTGATAATGTGGATATGCTAATCTGAAAACCGGCGAATAGATTAGATCGATTTGGTCATTTAGCAGGTTACATTCGCATTGCTAATGCTAGATTCACTCATTCTAAAAGCTTCAGTAAAGAACTAACTTAATTTTTTTTAGTAAAATAGTCAAAAATGTATAAAGTAAGTTCACCAACACTTTTATGACGCTTTGGCATATTAAACAAACAAAAGTACTTGAAATCTCCCTCGAAATGAGACCAGTTACAATTTATCCAATTTTAACACGTACCTGGGGAGGCGGAGTTCAACGTGTCATTGATATGAGTTTTATGTATTGAAGAAACACAGATTTTCACTAAACAGTTTAACAAAAACGTAATATGTGTTTTGCCATATTGTATAGCAAAACACGTGGTGCGTTTTTGTAAAACTGTTCAGTAAAAATCTCACACGGGTCACACCCGAAACCGTTCGTATAAGTAAAATCAACTAGTGGTAATTAGACAAAAGTGTTTTTATTCATTTTATTAAAGTGATCATGAATTACCCCAAAATAAACAAGTCATCAATCACACATACTCATCAAGTATCTGCCAATTCCATCACATATAAGCTTCATGCTTCAGAGATATATCCTCGGGGAATGTACTATGAATGTACTTATAGGTGTACACTCTTGAGAAACTTCTGAGTTAATTGAGTTGGCCACTGAAATTGAAAATTTGGTGTTAAAATTTTCCCTGCCTGCTGCATTGGTTGCATTCCATGATATGGTCATTAACTTCTTGAGTGGCAGATATTGAGTTTCTTGCCAAAAACACAGAAAATAACTAAATATATTTTTCTGCAAATTTATTGATTCTATACCAAAACATTTCCCTACCAAAATATGTGAAGAACATTTCTGAATCAACGTATATATGAAGACACTTTACGTACAATTGTGCGTTTTTCTAATCTATATTGTTGTATCTTTTTTAGAATGATGTCGAATTGACTTAATTTTCTGTATATTCAATCAGACGAACAGTTGAAATTTAAATGATTCGATAGTTTGCTGATTTATCAAGTATGTATTAATTTCAGTGCTGAGAGGAGCGCTAAATGGTCCACCCCCAGAATTCTTACAGTCTTTAATGCAAATGGCAGGTCAGATAATAAGTCGCAACATTCCAACTACTTTCACTCCCTCAAGTGGTTCTGCGCCAATCGCAATTAGTATAGCTTCTACGGAATCCACCCAACAAAGTGGCGCTTCTCAGGGATCACAATCGCCCTCTGGTCAAAACTCACAGGCACGTGGTAACACACAAACCTACTCCACGACGGCTACCCATACCCTTCCCACTCCTCGGCCTCACGTGCATTTAGCCCAACAAGCGATGCAGGGCGGTTTCGATCCCTTCTTACCATGTAACTCGCATCACATTTCGAGGCGCAGGCGACATTTGCAGATGGCAGCCGTACCAACATCTACGAATCCACCACAGGCTAATGCGCCGAGACAGGAAAGTGGTGAAAGGCCTGGGATACATGATTTTTTGAGTTCGCTGAACGAAGCTAGGGCAACACAGAATCAGGATACTTTCAATGTATTGAATGAAATATTGGAGAGGCACAGATCAACCAATGATTCTGCTCAAAGAACCTCTAACGTTTCCAATGATTCGAATACTGCTGGTATTTCCCCTGGTTTAGGGGCATTTGCTTCATTATTTTCCAGTTTACACCCAGGGGGGGTGAGTATTGATGAGGGAGACTTTTTTTTTGTTATTGATATATTTAATTATTTGAAAGGGTTCGCCCCTTCAATACAATAAAGTTATTTCACAAACTACACTTGCCGATTTGATCTTTACAAAATTCATTTTCAAAAATATGACATGCGAATTACACTACAAAAAAGTTACTGTGTTAGCGAAACATGTCATGATATTTTTGAAAATAAAGTGAAGATCAAATCGTTAGGGGAAGTTTGTAAAATTACTACAGATCTTCATCAATTAATGACCAAGTCAATCAGAAAAAGAAAGATAACAGGCTAAACAAGAAGTTAAAGTTAAAATTAATGATGAGTATGTACTTGAAAGCAAAGAATGAAGCATACATTGAAGCACCAAATTAGGAATTTCCTTATTTTTCCTTAATATCTCTTGAAGTTATAATATTATTAGGTAAACATAGCAAAAGAGGATAAGGACTCTCTCAAAAATGGTTTTAGTATCACTTGAAGTTCTTTGTTGGATTTGAAAATTTAACGTTGCTTAGAGCTCTGTGTAGCAAACTTAACCACAAAGAAGTGCAAGCAAAAGGCAAAGCTCTAAGTGTTGTTTCAAGAGTAGCCAGATTTGAACTCTAGTGGACATTATATAATAGGTATGTTCGATTTAAAAAATCTGGAGCCAAGCAATTATAAATCTTTATCAGGATAACATGTTACAAAATAGGGATGATAGCTTTGCAAAATTCATATATGAGAGACCACTGAAAAAGCATTATGGCTCCAATGATTTCCATACAGGCTTTGGTGTTCAGGGAAAAGTCTCATTATATTTATATAGAATAAATCGTCATATTACAGCTAATAGAATATTTGATAGAAGTTTTGAAAAATACAAACATAAATGTTAAAGAATTCCTCACAAGTGTGATGATAAAAATAAGTACTTAATGTGTTGGATTGATTTTAAACTGAAGGACGAGATTCATAAACGTTCCGCTTGGCCAAGACATGTGGCATTTAAGAGACTTAACTTTAGAAAACACCAGCGTACAGAAATAAGAGTGAGAACATTCATGCAACAAGGAGAATAACAATAATACATCAAAATATTTGATGCGTCTATAATAGTGTGAGTGAACTTATTGATTTCCTAGAAAATATCCCTGGTCTTCGAATACTCTGTCTAACAGAACACTGGCAATGCCAAGATTTTAAAATTGGATAAATTGATGAACTAATCAATCTCAATGTGTTTGAGTGTTGTGCCACAAAAATAACTCTTTTTTAAAAAATTGATGGATGTAGCTGTTACTTACTGGTAGGAGATCATCATGAAAAATGAGAATTAAAACTTCCTATGTTTTTATACCACTTGTATTTGTAACTAACGTTACTGGAGTTTTGTTCTACAAGGACATTAATTCATTGTAATTGGTATATACCACCCATCTGAAAGTGATCACAATATCTTCATTAATCAGTTTTTACAATCACTCATTATTTAAAAAAAAAAATAAAGTTGTACATTGCTGGTGATTTCAATATTGATACACTAGGACAGGGATGGCGAACCAATGGCACGCATGCCACAAATGGTACGCGACACAATATTTTGGGCCCGTCACCGATCACGAAATTCATTATGAACTAAGAAAAAACGTGTTAAATAAGTATTTTATGACCATCAAACACGAGTGATCCTACTCTACGAAGTGTCAGAAGACTAATAAAAACATTTCAAAATGTGCTTTTTTTGTAGTAAATTAGGAGTTTTGATAGTATTTATTATTATTATTTTCCAAATAATCAGAAAGTCAAAATTATTTGATAGCACGTCTATGACCTTATTAACATTCTTTAGAAAAAATGGCACGTTGATGCATAAAGGTTCACCTACCCTGCACTAGGGTCATCAAAGTACTCAAATTTGTTGAATACACTGGAGTTGTTTGATCTCAAAATAACTATTAATGAAATTATCCGACAAACTAAGAATGGAGGAAGTTGTCTGGATAACATTATAGTTGATTCTGCTGACCTTACTCTATAAAAAATATTAATTCATTATGCCTGTCTGACCACTACAGTCAAATTTTATCAATAAATGCCACTAACAAGAATCATTCAGTAACACTTTCTTTTTCGAATGGGGCTATTGAAGAATTTAAAAATGACCTCGAAGATATTTTTTTTCCATTTGTAATAATAATAATTTTATTAGTCTCAAGAAACACACAGTTTTTAGACACGTCAATACAATTTCCAAAATAGGTTTGCTATGCTGAGGAGCATAGCAAATTGTTCAAATAATCATGCCAGGCACCTTTTAAGGAGTACGGTGTTCCAACATTAACACCAGTTAATATTTTTGAACTGTGTTCATAGCAAATTGTTCAAATAATCATGCAGGGCACTTTTTAAGGAGTATGGTGTTCTAACTTTAACATCAGTTTATATTTTTGAACTGTGTTATGTATGTGTTGAAAAAAAATAACTTTCACAGCAAATCTAAAAGTTCATCAACATGATACTAGAACCATTTTCATTTGCCCTTAGCTAGATTCAAAGTAACACTATGTGGACCGAAATACATTAGTCCAAAGATATATAACCACCTTGCAGATCATTTAAAGGCCTCTGTTTTCAAAAAATCATTAAAGAATTATTTATTTGAAAAAAGTTATTATGCTTTGCAAAAATTCTTAGTTTTAGGGTATGAGCCTGTCTTCCATGTTTCTTTTTTATTCTGTATTTTGTATTGACACTTCCTACACAATTTTATGGTCTTGACTGGAAATTAAGAATCAATAAATAATAAATAAAAAAGCAAACTAGGTGTAGACATTTTTTTATTGATTGTTTAATTTGTATATAAAATATACGAATACGACAAGTTACAGACTAATTCACTCTTTAGGGGATTATAGTACTCGGTAACTTTTTGTAGTGAACTTTTCAGTTTGTCCTTCATCAAATTCTCTATTAATTTAGCTTTGTTTTTTAGAATGTGATAGGTTAAAAACCCACGTAGGCATTGGAAAACATCCTTCCACAAAAAAGTCTTTTGAAGAATATCCAGTAGTATCTTATATTTATAGTATATTTGTTTGAATAAAGGGATGGTGATTTTTGTTTTTTAATAATTTTTTTTCTTTAGAATATGCCAGACCTAATTCGTCAGGGTCCATCATTGGATCAGATCTTACAGCACTTGCAACCAGACGAGCAATATGTGCCTGGTGAAAGTATTATTACTGACCTAATAATGCTATTTATCAGAAATTTCACACTTGTGTAAGTCCTCTGATGAAATTGCCATAATGAGTGTCGATAAAATTATTTTTGCAGAGATTTGTTCACTTTGAACAGTGGAAATCTCGAACCAATCAACAGGAATGTAACCGAAATTCAAAACTTCTTCAGAACGAGAATCTGCAATGGGGATGTAACACCTACAGGTGTTGATAGGGGAGTTGGTAGACTGATAACAGAAATGCAACCATTTCTGGAAAGTTTTGTAAGTTGAAAGAATGATCATCATGTTGTTTTTTTATTGATCCATTTTTTTTTAGAGATCTTTAGCTGTACGAGGTGATATTGATATGGTTAGATCAGCTGAACAGTTATTCAGACAAAGACTGCCGAATATCATCAGTGTAGGAATTAACCTTAACCCAAACAATGTAAGGCTGCTACTTGAACAGTGTATAACAACAGGAAAGCAACTTTTAGCCCTTATTTTGCTCGCAAGTTCTGATGGCCAGCCAGGTGTAGAAAGAACCGTTGAACAAGTGATGGTAAAGTATTTGTCTATTCATTTCGATCTTTTGCTTGTGAAATTTCAACTAGTGAAGCCAGTCAGTGTGACAGATCATAAACTGGTAATCAAATTTGGCTACAATTACGTGAATCAACCAACAGCGACAGGGAAAACCTGAAATAATCAGGTAAAATGAAAATCTGTGAAAAGGCTGGGAATTATATTCCTGATACTTGAAAGTCGGGGACATTTCACTTGTTTTTCTATATTTCAAATATTTTAATATGCATATTAACTAGAAAACAACTACAACTTTATAGTACCAAACGTTTCGTTCCTGCGGCAGACATCTTCAGTAGTGTAGGCATTGACTATAAGGAAGTTGATAGTATCTTGAAGTCTCGGCAACAACTGCAACTATATTCATTATATCAATATTTGAATTTGTAAGTTACTGTGATTTTTTGCATTTTTTGTCTGACAATGGTGGCAAGTCAAGCAGCATACAGGGTTGGTCAAAAAATATAAAAATTGCTCAAGAGTAAAGTATCCTTATTTCAGATTCTTCAGCAATATGTTATTGACAAAAGTTGTTCACGGTTGCAAATTATGCCTAAATTATGCCTGATTACTTTATGAAAGTGCTGAGGGTGATTATAAAAAAAATTACATATAGAGAAATCATTAATGAAAAAAATGAAAAAACGGCTTGATTTTTGCTTTTGTTTCCAAAATCTAAGTGTGCCACAAGGATATCACAAATGTTCAACAATATATATTAAAAAAAAATCAAAGTGGCATAAACCTACAGGTATTACAAGAACAAATTTTTCCAATTATTAGTATTCTTTTAAAATTATGGGGTTGTCTAATGTAGAAGAATCAGAAATGTCAGTTTGTGGGACTACTAAAAAAACAGTGATGAAACTATTGAACTATCCATGATAATAGTTGTAACAATTTTTACAAAATTTTTTCTCAATTCAGGCAGAATTTGTAGAACAATTACAATCTGAGTTCTTGTACAACAGGAAAATTTTGAATATGAATAGAATTATTGACATTATGAAAAAAGGTTTAACAATGATGAGTGGTTAACCTCTTGTTGGTCATTCAATTGGGAATTTGGATGTTTGCCCTAATTGATTTCCAAAGACTCCAGCAGATTCAATTTCTATCCTTTATTGTTCTATATGTAGTATGTCGTAGATAGTGTTGAAATCGTTATTGTTTTCCAAAAGGTGGCATGCACAGTTGTAATTCTTCTTCAGTTCAGAACTTCTTTTATGTTCGGAGATTCTCGTTAGTCCTTAAACTTTTGGACATGATCGGCATGTTAGTTTGTAACAGTTATTCATATTGTAATTTGAATTGTAATTGTTTCACAAATTCAACCTGTTATCTCATTTACTATTAACCAATCAGGTGAGGTATATAAAAATTGGTAGTCCAGTGTGTACTATTTATCACTACCCATGAAGCTACGGTGTTAGCGAAACGCGTCTAGAATAAAAAAAAAACGTTAGTTAAAATTGTTTAATTATTATCATGGATAGTGTTATTAATTTTCATCAAGTAACGGGTTAGTCCATTCATAATTTGAAACTATTGAAAACAATTTAAAAAATGTAGTCAAATCCATGTATAAGTGGGTCTAAACTCAGCAAAATTTGAAATAATTCTTCACCGTATACATTTAAAAGTCACTTTGTTAAAAAATAATCTGTTAGTATAAACATAATTCAAAATTGTCAATTTGTGAGTTCAAACTTGATTTTACATATAATATACCCATTTCGAAAGGTCATTTTCAAATATTTTTTTATTGTCAAATATATTGTTACGTTTTTCCTCATGGGTTGACACTTAACTTTATTTCACTTTAAATACAACAAACACTTCAACTAAACTTCAACTATTATTTGAATGTCTATCACCTTACTGGATCACTTCGCCTACCGCACTGTAACGTCCACTTGACTGTGTCGATATCCTCGTGGCTAGCCTTTAATATCGTAATCGAATGTTGTAGAAATTTCGCCGAACTTATGTCAAAGTCGGTAGCATTATTCTCGCTGCTTCTCGAGTGGCGGGGAATCATCGTACATTCGCACGCTCTTAGCTACGTCACCATTGGTTTATGGTTACCAGTGGCGGCCGGCGTTATTGTCTTTCGGGCATGATTTACTCTACAATATAATTGTTAATGAGTTGAATTCTCTTCTATAAATGTATTTTCCTCTTTGATCTAAGTAATCTATCGATTCTGTTAGAAATTTGAGATTGGATTAGGAGTTATACTATAGTAAAAGTCAGTGAGAGCATTAAGATTTACATTAATTTGTCAATTTGAATTTTTCCCTGATACATTGATCTACTTGTTCCCTATAAGATATTTCTTTGGCACATTCAAGAATGTCTGTAAATTTTTATTGACACATCTTTAAGAAATGTTTGTGCGATATAAAAGTAATAGCTCTGCTATACAATGTATGCTATACGAGGTCTGTTCATTCGATTAGCGATTTTTTCTAATGTTGGTACACTCGTCTCGAACATATGTTCATAGTTTCAGCTGTTTTGCATGTTTGCTTCGTTTGAGAGGGGCATAAAAGTTGTGTGTTTTGCATGTTCGGCAATTTTATGCTATCGGCAAAAATGGATCAAAGAATTTGCATTAAATTTTATATAAAAAATGTAGTTAAGTACTCAAAAACTATTGAAATGTTGACAATGGCATACGGTGATTGTACTCTTGAGTCAGAATTTTTTTTACGAGTGGTACAAGCTTTTCACAAGAGGTAGAGAAGATTTGAATGAAAACTCTCTTCCTGGAAGCTCCAGCATATCAACAACCGATGAAGATGTTGGGAAAGTAAAGAAAATTGTTATGGAGAATCGCAGAATCACTATGCAATTTTTTCGGAAATTTTGAGCATGAAGCGTGTGACAGGAATTGTTGAATGACGTCAACGGATTTGCTAAAAAGCGTCATAACTGTTGACGGATGGAAAAGCCTAGGAGAGCCGAAACCAAAAACAGCATGCCATGTTCAATCAAATGTCAAGGTTTTGCTTACTGTTTTCTTCGAAAGTGGTTGTTCGGTCAATTAGGAGTATCATCCTGGAGTTATGCGCCGCTTGCGAGAATCAATACGAAGAAAACGTCAAACTTTTTTCTTTTCATTTGAAGAGATCCATGATACTACTGCATTTTGCGACGATTGAGGATAAAAAACGAATCCCTGAGAGAGCTCAATGACATATCAAGAAGTGCATATCAGAATTACTTTGAGGATTGGAAAAAACGCTGGCACAATCGTATTATATCTGACGGGGACTACTTTGAAGGGAACAAAATATGGAAAAATGAAAATTCACCTCATTTTTTGAACAGACCTTGTATCTTCAATTTTCATTAGAAGATATTATTCTTTCAACTCGATTCTCTATACGTGAAATGTTTTCTGATGATCAGGTCAAAATTTATGGAGACCTTTTTATCATTCTTTTCAGTTTTCCATTTTATTTGTTTATTCTTATATGAAATAGCTCACATATTTTTTCTAATGGTGTAAATATGACAATGTAGATTCATTATGTAGCTATTTAGTTGATCAGAGTTTCATATTTTGTCAGAACAACTTCATGCACGACATTCCGCAAGATGTTCAAAACTGGACCCTTAGGATAAGTCGTGAGCAATTACGACACTTACTCGCAAATTTAAGTATTCCTGAAAGTATATTGCAGCCTTATATCGTACGTCAATCGGAAGTAGCAATGCCTTCAGCAGATGAAAATAGACAAAATGAAGTTGGCGATAGTACACTCACAGCACCTTGTAACCCTCCTCGAAGTGCAGATGAAGTAAGTTATCTTCTCTTGTTGAGTAATTGTATTGAAATTGTTGTATATTCAGGCAATGGATTTTGATGTTGTTGAAGAAACTGCAGGTGGAGAACTTAAATCCCAAACAATTGTAAAAGAGGATACTGAGCCACTACCAAGTGTAGTTTTGGGATCAGAACCCTGGCATGGACAGGTACCTGAGGTACAGCATAGTAAAGTGATGACTACTGCTTTTAGGCTCTCGTTGAAATAAAAAATGATTTATTTAAATCTTTTTTATTTTCAGGATTGGGTGCCAATCATCACGAGGGATTCTCAGAAACAAAGAAGGCAGAGTTCACAAAGGCCTTTCAGTGATTCATATCTTTCCGGCATGCCTAGCAAAAGAAGGAAAATTGTAAATAATTCCAAACCCCAGGGTAGTCTTCCGCAAGTTATAACAGGTATAGCTTTCTATGTAATTTTTTATTTGAGAGATAGAGTATATATGTCTATCTTACCAGTTTATTGTGAAACTTCCACTAAACTGTTCACAAAACCAGAGCATGTTCAGTGAGAAAATTTCAGTGTTATATAAGTAAAGGCTACGCTTCAACTCAACTCAAAATAAAGCAACACGGAAAAGAAATAGTCTGGAATTTACGAAATTAATTGTGGGAATTGTAACAAAAAGTATGTTCGTCAAATTAAGTAGACTGTAAACAAACATTTAAAAGAAAATTTTTGAATAAGTTCAGGCTTCCATTGTCTAATATGATATTAAATGATTTGAAATCCCAGTCATCATCCGAAGACAATTGTGGATAGTAACAATCAAAACGACGTGAAGTAACTTGGCTTGAAATGTTTTGATTTTTATTGTTCAATTTTCAATTGTTGCTTGTATTTTATTTTATTGTAATTGTAATGGTTATTTTCAACTATTCATTTTGATTTTAATTATTCTTTCAGGAATTTCAAATCATTTTATATAATATCAGGCAATGGAAGTCCGAACTAATGAAATGCATCGTGAAATATTGTCAACCACTTTTAATTAAAAAAACATGATTTTCAAATTCGGTTTAATAGACCAGGGGAGTATAGTGTCGTGTATAGTGCAAATATGCCTTGGAAAACTCCCACAGAATAAATGAGAATTACTTGAAATTGTTGAGGCAACAGGCTTGACGTTTAGAAATCGAAAAGTGGAATGAGATCTATGACCAGCAACGAAAGTGACATTCCAAACAGTCCATTGTTTACTCTCCTACTTAATAATTATGCAATCAGGAAAATATTAGGTACCATCAGTTGTTAGTCATTAACTAATTTAAAAACCTTCATCACCAAAAGTAATAGTTTCTCCAGATATAAATTAGAGACTACCTTAGTAGTAAGTAACTAAGTAGTCATCTAAGTAGTCTGATGCTTACTTGATTAACAAATGCGACAAGAGACAGTGCTTTAGTTATGGTGTGAGAAAAATGTTTTTATGTGCTTCATTCTAAGCCCGAGGTTCCAGTTCTACCTATCAAGTTGTCAACCTTACTATGAATGTATTGCATGATAAAAGAAAAAAATTAGCATTCTTCATTTTAGTAAAAAAATCTTTCCTAAAAAAAGATTATCACTAGATTTTTTTTTTCGGGTACTGTTTCTGATTTTTTTTCCTTTACAGATAGTATGCGACAAGCTATCACAGCAACTGGATTAACACCAGTAGCTCCACTGGAAACAGTCTCACAAGCAGCTGGTGCATCTTTAGAAATCCAGACTGCATATAGGAATATGTTTAGAACCACCGTGCAAGCGAGTTTGAGAGATAATGAGGACTTTTTGCCTGAGAGGTTTCCCAATACTTCCAATTATTTCAATATCGGTCAGCAGTGACGTTTAAGCTAGGCAGTGAAGTGATGTGACTGAAGTGGTTATTTAATTTGTTTAATATAACATTTATTCTATAATTTATTCCTCATAATATACGTAAATGATCCACATTTATTGCTCACTTGATTTTTTAATAAATATTATCATTTGTTCAACAATTACTGAATTTTCTGGTGCAAATAGAAATATAATTTTTTATTGAAAAATTTTATGAAAATTTTACCCTTCAAGATTACTGTTATGGTAAGGAATAGAACAACTATTCAAGACTTGAAGTAGAAATGTGTTACAATGTTCAGCAAAGTTTATGAAATGTGCCGAAAAAACAAGCCAATCGAGAGATTTGCAGAATTTATTTAAAAGAATGATTTCAGTTTTTACACAACTTTTCAGTTTTAACTCTACTTGAATTAAGAACCTTTTAAACCTAGGCAACGTGATGGATGATCACTTGTTGGGATTTACGAATCAACTGTCAGACAAAAAAAATGGTAATATTTATTCCCAAAATTTAAATTCTTGAAAAAAATTGTGCGTTTGACTTAGCAGCTGAATTTTTGAATATTGTTAGGTTGATTATGAACATTTTAAATGCCTTTCAGAAGAATTGTTATACTTTTAGGCATTAATAAAAGCAACATATATCCCTAATGCTTTAAATAAAAATGAAATCACAAGTTCACAAATATGTTCCTGTTGGATTTACGTGATTAAATTGTTGTGGCACTAGGCTTTTAGCTAAGACAAATAGTGACAAAACATACCTAAGACAAGACACATTTAAATACAAAACAAAATTGTATGATATTTGAAACAATTACTGTGGTGGTATAAATATGTATGAAAGAATCAAATTTATAGAATACATTTTTGCACTTGAATGTTACAAGGCACTTACGTTTGAAGCAACTTTAGTATACATTTTTTGTCAAGATTATTACACTTTTATCTCAAATATTTGCAGTGGATAACCCCTAACAGTTTTGATTCCATAATTCTGAGATACTGTATATTTAACGTTTGTCCCCGGTAGAAATTATAAGTATCAAATCATATCGCGCGTTCGGCTGACAGTGGCGCGAAAACAAAGGACGAGCTACACTGTACCGTAAATTCAGATTAAATTGAGCTTTTTGGTATAAAACAAATATGGTGGTTTGACAGTCAGTAGATGTATAACGCCGAAGTATGAATGAAATTATTTTCTTTCGAACAAATTAGTGAATGATCTTAATCGTATTACGCTTAAGATTAAGCATATACAATCTGGATTGAATGGACCAAAATAATATAATTTTTTTTGTTTCAACCAGAAAAAAATTGCGTGATATTCGCCGGGACCCCCCGAGATTTGACTCGACCCTCTCCCCCCCTTAAACACCTCACGTAATTTATGGACGCCCCCCAACTTCTACCAAACACTAGCACCACTCTTTGTTATCATATGAACATTCAAAAAAATCCAACATAATTTTAAATTATATATTCGACTTCATCAGGATAAGTTATCAATCCTCAATTTCTAACTGCTGATCAACAACAATAATGAAAGCAATCTCTAGGGAACATCGGATACTTCAGTTTTGATGACAGGTCCTCTCTATGAATAATTGGAACTAAAGGAAGTATCCATTTATTCACTAGATACTGCCAGGGTTACGTTTTTTGGCTGGTCTAAAAATTCGCTATTTTCAGGTTTTGTATTGAGAAGTTAGTTTTATTTGTTATTCCAAGTAGTTGTTACTTTATCCCATAGTAATGTAATGAAATATTTCAAAAATTGAGATGTATCTTCCCTATTTTGTTCCTGAAACGGTGGTGAAGAAATGTATGATTTGATTTTTTCCTCAGTATGAAGCAACATCATGGTCGAAACTGTGTAATAATCTGCTAGAACTGTTGACCCTGGAGACAACTGGTTAGTAGGCACACAAAAATATTATCATCTATCCTCAAACGCGTTGTACTACTTGTAACTGATCATTAAAATGGCTGAACGAACGGTCTACAAGGGTATAGGGATTTCCTGTATGTTTGCTATTTATAATTTTAGAACAGCCCTCGTATATCTTTTTCATTATGTCGTTTTCTTCAGATTACCTTCTTTGTAGAATAAACTCAAGTTTTTGTTTTGAGAAATAAATTTACAGCAATTATGTAACTGCATAAAAACTTACAGTTTCAAGTCTAAAATATGTTTTGAACAGTGGTTATCCTTAAATCTCTATCTTTGAACAAGACAAGAAAAAATGAACAACCACTTTCAAACATTTTCAATAACTGGCCCATACTCGAAAAAAGTCCATAATAAACTTATATTTATACGATTTTCATGTAAACACTTCACATGTTTATGGCTTCATCGAATAATATGTCTGGTTGTCATCAATTTCACTCATAATGTTTTCTACAATTATGTGAAATATAATCAAAATTAAAAAATAATTTTGAGAGATATTTTGCACCAGGTAAATGTTTTTCTTCCACCAAAGACTAAATCAAAAGAGCATTTTTGTGGGTCTCAGCTCCTGAGAGGTTATTATGAAACACTGAACTGTTCGAACTTGAAAAATAATCTAGTGTTATTTTTATTAATGAAAACTTTCAAAAATTGTTTTAGACATTTTTAGTGTTTCTGATTCTCGATGAAATGTTTCCAGTTTGTGACATATTTTTCTTTTTGTAACCTCCATATACTCCAAGATATTTGTAATTTTTTAAGGTTGAAAATATACTGCTCATTTCAATATATATTGTATTATTTCCATAAATGTTTATACCAAACACCAGATGATAAGATGTTGAAAACACAAATAAAGTTGTGGTGCAATAAGTTTCTCAACATTTCGTCAACACGAGTGGTTAAATCTTCAACAAAAACTGACTCAGTGTATCCTGAAGATGACCAACAAATACCGTGAAACCTGGTTGTGAAAACCACAAAAGTTTGAGGTGTCAGTCCTCTTAACCGTTTGATATCTTCATGTTCAAAATCGAATATGATTAGATAAAAGTTCCTATCAAATTATATAAAAACTATATTGAACATTCTTCTGTTACTGATGAATATTCAAAATGAAATAAATATATAAAGGTACAAACATTAATAAAATGAATATATTAGATTTTCATGCTTCGCATAAGCCCAAAAACAGTCATTTGAAAAAGTTGTCTTTTTACAATTATAGGAGGGAATCCCTAATTTCATCAATCTAGGACGAAAATATTTTTTGCCATTTTTGATAAGGCATTCATTTACTAATAAAATCGACATATTCTGTTCATATATACTTTTTCCTGAGCAACATATGTGGATTAGTTTTTATATCAATTTTCATTATTTGGAACCTAATTTGAAAGAAAATTTAAATAATGGTATAAAAATGTGAGCACAAGCATTGCAGTCTAAAATAAACTTGATTTTTGCCATTTTTGATAAGGCATTCATTTACAAATAAAATCGACATATTCTGTTCATATATACTTTTTCCTGAGCAACATATGTGGATTAGTTTTTATATCAATTTTCAATATTTGGAACCTAATTTGAAAGAAAATTTAAATAATGGTATAAAAATGTGAGCACAAGCATTGCAGTCTAAAATAAACTTGATTTAAATTTACTGAATACATTTTAGAAATTCAAAACTCTTGAAATAAAATTACCAGTGCTATATTTTGATTTCATGAGTGACATTCAGAAAGAAATGCTCAATTCAATACTGCTAAGAATGATGGCAAAATTTAGGCAAAGTGCTTCTGTGGAAAATTGTTTTAAAAAAAACAATCATCCTAAGCAAAGGTAAAGAGTTCGGAAAATTTTATTAATCCAAATTTATACTGTGAAAGAACGTAATTTCAATATCTGGTTAGGACTTTTTGTGCTAGTTAATAATGTTAGGGACCCCAACATTATTACCTGTTCATCTTGGGAATTAATTTCATAATGAAATAATTGATAAGTTGTTCAGACAGCTTTTTTATATAACATAACATGTTGCATAAATGTTCAAAGCTGTAACTGTGCTTTAATATATGACACAGAATTTCATTAGTACTCAGTTTCAGAAAAACATGTGAAATCCAAAATAAAATTTCACAAATACTATTAAAGTATATTAAAAGAATCAAGAAATATCATCACTGCGAAGATTCACTATCATAATTATCTGGATCAAAATCTTCATCATCATCATCTAAATCTAAATCCTCAAGATCTTGGAAAAGTGACTCATCAACTTTCACAGCATCACCTTCATCTAAGAATTTGAGATCAGACTCATTTAAGGTATTGTCGGTCATAAATAGCTCCCTTCCAGTCAATTTTTTTCCTTCTTTATCAGCTATTTCTCTTTTTTTTGTTATACCCATATCGTCTTCAAAATTTTTTCTCCATTTCATAAACGTTTCTACTGTGACCCTTGTACCTTCAAATCTCTTTCTTTCTGCCTCCTCATCTTCCAGGAGCTTTCGAGCAGCTCTTTCTTCTTTTTCTCTCTTCGTTTCTTCATACTTCACGTTAAGCCACTCTTGTGCAGAAGATACTAAAGTAAATACCATTACCATTCCCAAATTCTCTTCAACCTGTTCCATAAGATAATCAAGTATTTTTTGTTCATAATGTTCTTCGAAATTCTCAGAGTTCTCTATTTCTATAATTGGAGCTTCCTCTGGATATTTTGGAGTATATGTTATAACAAGATTACAACTCAGTCCAGTCTCAGAATCAGGTTCATATTCTTCAGTTTTGATTGGAATTGAAAATCTATATGGAGGATCAGCTGACAAAATTTCGAAATCTCCATAATATATTGATTCCAAAGCCTCAATTTCACTTTTCTGTTCCTCACTGTAATCCATGTTGGCAAAATAAAAAAATGGTTTTCTACACTTTTTCATTCATTGCATTATTTACCAAGTTTACAAAGCACGTATTTAACGAAATTGAGGTTAGAGAAAGTCACTGGGCACTGGGCACAGAATAATAAATAATCAGATTTGAAACTCTTGAGTCTCTGAGGCGTCACCTTTACTCTTTATCCCGTGTTTTCAGGGATCTTGATGATTATATCTCGGTGTAGATGTGAGTTTCGGCTTTGCCTAATACTTACAGGAATGTTCAGGACCGTCTTTACTTTTATAATAATACCACTCCAAATAATTTGAAGATGTTCTGACAAAATATTTTAAGATTGATCTCTGATGATCGTGGAAATTTTGAAACAATAAAGTTGATTATAAAATCTAATGAAATATTTCAAAAACAATCACAGATATTCTTGATCTGAAAAGAGATTATTCTAGTTCCCCCATAATAGGAAACTCTTGTCCAATTCAACCGACCTTGTAGGTCTTACCATTTCCGAGATATCAATATTGGGATCAGCTGAAAAACCGGAGTGTAAATATATGAATAAAATACAATAAATACGCACGCACGCATACATGTGTGGAGTATGACCCCAATAAAGTCAACATCAAACGGGATTTTTTTAGTTATATTCGAAATTTGACTTAAACACCAATTTCTGCTTAGATTGAGGTTGAAAGTTATAAGAAAGAAATAGTAATCAAAACACAGAACACGGAGCGAAGCTCGTGTGTGTGTGTGTGTGTGTGTATAAACTGACAGCATCGAACTATGGAGGGTGGCTCTACCCTCCATACATCTAACGCAGTCAATAAAATTTTTGAATTTTGACAGAACCGACAGTTGACAGTTGGTTATTGCGTTATCGTCTATGTGAATATGTCAATGTATCGACTGGACAAATATTGACAGTGTAATAATTGAGAGATTGTGTAGATTATCTTTGTTTCTTGAATTGAGATATGCAATTGGTTTGATTCTCAGAAATAGTGACTCAAAAATGTTGGTGACTAAGATATATTTCTAAATACCATAAGCCCGAAAAGAACAACTTGATATTTCTGCAACCATCTGAATAGAAAGAGAACATATGTCATCCAGGATGGATGAAAACACATCTACAAGAACATCACTTTTCGCCGATAATTCCTCAACTGCTTCGTCGATTATTCAAGCAATCATTCCGCCAGCTGATCAAATTTTTCTTCAAACAAAATCGTGTCAAACTATTTCTGGATTATTTGTGTTTGCAGCTCTATTTTTAACTTGTTCTCAGATTTATCATCACCTGAGATGGTACACGAATCCAACAGAACAACGCTGGATTGTGAGGATCCTATTTATTGTACCAATTTATGCTGTTCATTCTTGGATAAGCCTTTTATTCTTTAACAGCGACAATTACTATGTGTACTTCTTCACAGTTCGTGACTGTTATGAAGCATTTGTGATCTACAATTTTTTGTCTCTTTGCTATGAGTACCTTGGAGGAGAAGGAAACATAATGTTAGAAATCAGAGATAAACCCATCAAATCTACATGTTTGAATCCGTTCTGGAGTGGAAAAACATACACAATTGGATTTTTGAGATTTTGTAAGCAAGCTACTCTACAGTTTTGTATTGTAAAACCTCTCATGGCATTCGTGATCATTTTCCTGCAATCTTTTGGCCATTATCGTGATGGTGACTGGAGTCCTGATGGCGGTTATATATACATCACAATCATATACAATATATCTGTGTCGCTTGCATTGTATGGGCTCTTTTCCTTCTATTTTGCTACACGTGATTTATTGACACCATTTGAACCTGTACTAAAGTTTACCACTGTTAAATCTGTTATCTTCTTATCCTTCTGGCAAGGAGTAGGCCTCGCTATTTTAGAGAAAGCAAATGTTATCTCGCCAGTTATAAATAATAATGTAACTAGTACCGTTGGCACAGTGTCTGCTGGATACCAAAATTTTCTGATATGTATAGAAATGTTTTTCGCCGCCATAGCCTTGAGGTACGCTTTTCCATATAGAAAATATGCTCAAGGTTGTTTAACCGACTCGAGAGGAAGGTCTGTGACAATGCAGAGTATTTCAAGCAGTCTCAAGGAAACAATGAACCCAAGAGATATTATGACTGATGCTATTCATAATTTCCATCCACAGTATCAACAGTATACCCAGTATAGTTCTAAAGTCCCTTCACGACAGCCTTATGAGAGTTTATGATATACACAATACAGCGATGACTAAATCGCTGATGGCCGTTTTAGCTGCATTCCTCCATTCTCAACTGTTTCTGAATCTACCAGCAGAATTGCATGGTGGATTCTTGTTATGAGATAAATGTACTATTCTGATTGTAGTGTTTTTGAATGTTACTTATTTTTTTTACTCATGTTATATAATTAATTTTAAATATTCACCTATAATCAATAAACATGTTCGATAAGACTAAGTTCCTTTCTTTGAATATAATTGAATGGGTGATTTTTATTTATTTATTTATTACATGGATTGAAGCCTATTATAAAAAAAGTTTATATTTGCTCTTCACTAATCGATTACCAAATGTATAGAATAGTTATTAGTGCTATACTTGTAAATTCATATATTAGAAAAATAAAAATAATGTCACACAATGTTTACTTAACATTCATTTGGTGAAAATTTAAATATTACTCTCAAGTTCCTCCCAAAAAACAGCTATCGAGAATAATTCGTGAAGGAATGATATTTGTGTAAATAGAACACTTAATAGTTTATGTAAAACAAATAAATGAACAGTTCATTTTATAGTTCTTTATGATTTAAGATTACTTTCGTCAATATGCAGAAAAACTTGGAAAGCTAACCATTGGTGATTAACTGCATTAGACATGTTTAACTAACTGAAAATTCAGATATTGTTGCTCACGACAAAAATGTCTTCTTAAATGTTTCTGAAAGGTATTCATAATTTTCAGTACTTGATAATTTGGAAACGCTTAGCATGAAATCTAAAATAATATAGTCTGAAAATTATTTCAACCCCTACACCAAGCTTAACCGATGGAAATTCATCCATTTACATGATATTCGAAATTTTCTGTACAGTGACAACAAATACCATAGATTTACAGTCTCAAGATTACATTAAATTTTTATACACATTTGTCCTTTGCAAAATTCGGACTATTACGGATGTACACACATTTAAATGGATTAAACTTTATGCACTCGAAATAAATTCCTAATCATTTCACTATTTGTGTGACCATTTACGCTGGGCTCTATGAAGTTTGAAAAGAATATGTTGGTAAGATATTACAAATAGTTATACCGTTTGACACACCTTTAAGGTAGAAATTTAAATATTCATCGGAGATGATATGATTGACACTATGAATTCCTCTATTCAAGCACATATTGCTACAACTACATAGTAATCTATAACTGAAGAACGGATGACCTAAAATAACATTTCTAAACATAAATAAATTTGTTTATCTACATTTCAAGTATTCCTGGACTCCATCCTCAATTCAAATTTAGCGCTGATCATTATATTAGGTCAAAACATGAAATGTTGACGTAAAAGCGGATTTTCTGTAGCGTTTCCAGTACTCATAACTTACGTCAAAGAGTAGCGTTTCCAGTACTCATAACTTACGTCAAAGAGTGATGAACAGCTGATTTGAACAACTAAATGTGGCTATATTTATTGTTTTGTGGGTTTACTATGTCTAGAGCTGCAAGTGTGAATTTATTAGAGTGATGTTGTTTTCCAGCGCGATTATTATAGACATGGAACTGATGAATAAGTGAAATAAATAAGTATCGCTAATTTGAACCATTATGATCGACGATTAGAAAAGGGGAGCTGAAAGTACTTTGTTTTTATTATACCGTTTAACTAATATCTAATTTATACGTCGATGAAATTTTTTATAATTATTGATTACTCCGAGATTGACGTTCAAAATATATAACCCAGATGCCACTCTCTTCATCCCGCAGAATACCTTCACAAAAAGACATACTTCTGGCGGCACTTTGTGATGTTGAGTCGTCGCGTTTCTGTGAGCTATCTATTGTGTTAAGGGGGTTCATGTTCACATTCGTTAACATCTGGATGTAATTTCTAGATTACGGTTGGCATCTGTCGAGTTCTTGTTCCGTGATGAATGTCTTTTGAAAGGGTATTCTGTGGTCTGGTGAAGCATGCTTAATTTAATATGCTATTTTAGTCAGTGTGTCAGTAATGATCCTGATGTTATTTTGCTTCTTGGCCAAATATGTTACTAACTTACCATTTCCCTCATTTTATTACCTTTCGAAGAACATTTCAGTTCTGTAATTAAAAAGGAAAAAAATCTATTTTTATCAGAGCGAAACCCCAGTTTCATCTCGAACATATAATATTTTGCCATAAAACCACAGAACACCTTACAGAAGGATACTCATTCATCTGGAGACATTTTGTTTTTAACGGTCAAGTTTCTGGTGGCCTATATTTTGTGTTGGTGGTGTTTGATGTCGCTTTTCGCGGTGAATTGAAATTTTTTGAAAGCTATGGGTAAAATAATTGAATTTCGATTAAGTTATTATCACAATTTCATCCTGGCAGGTTATTAGGTCAACATTTTATTCAATTTAGCTTCATTTTATCAACATGCTCACATTCACTAAAAACTCGATAAACTTCTTTAGTTGATAATAGATAATAATCATATTCAAGATGGTCTTCGCTCAAAAAGTTCATGGTTCCTGTTTTGTGCTCTGTTCCAGCGAACAATTACCAAAAGAAAGCGTTTCATATATCTCTTCTCATTTTTCTCAATGTAATATTTGTAACCTTTCTCTAGCAAATGTGGAGTACCTATATAGAAACAGTGCGTATTACTAAAAAAATCCAGTTCCGAATCTGAGTAGAAAATTCAGGAGGGTTGTATGGAGGAGCAACTGAGCTGAATACCGCCTCCTTGTTTCAATTATGTATTATGTTTATGTATTGAAAAAAATGAAAACACATTATCATTAGGTACCATCATTATTTTAACCAAAGTTTGCGCTAGTCAGGCCCTATCCCCGAAGCACCGATACATTCGGGAGTGTGCGCCAGCATTATCAACCAACGACCACTCCCCACACCGTGGGGTAAGTGATCATTGGGTCCGAGAATTATGTGTCCTGAGCAAGAGCAGTGAACCAAGAATGACAGCCTTTTGCATTTGACCGGCTAAGATTTCTGCTTTAGTGCGGCAAGCCGGTATGATTTTAAGATTCGAGAGTAGAGAGGGCAATAATCAGAACAACCATCTTGACAGAGTGCTCTGGATAGAGTCTGCGGAGTTCGAAGAGAAAATCTCGATATTTTCTCCGTTTTTTCCTCCTCTTTTCGGACGATATTCGTTTCGCCAGGAGCTGAAAACTCTACGACAAATATCGTCCTGCTTTGGTGGTCGAGAAGGACTACATCAGACATATTGGCTTGTATGATTATGAGGGTGAGGAAAGAATAGTTTCAATGAATTCGGCACTTAATTCTCGTTCCTCACAACGGATTCAATATCCACCGGAGCGTGGGGCAACACCAGTGTCTCGTCAATACCACAAGAGTGTCGTAGGTGGTAATAAAGTACTTTTAGGGCCGCGTTATTTCGATGGATGTAGCTCGAGACCGCATATGCTGGACATGCTGACAGCAGGTTGCATTAGGGTCTCAGACGCCTCGCGGCAGTCCCTGCATCTTGTATCAGGAACCTCTACACCCATCACGCGACTGTGGCAGACTGAGGTGTTGAAGACACCATCCTGGCAGGACATGATGAACCCCTCAGTTTCCGACTTCAGCCGACTCGACCTCAGGGAAGCAAAAGTCAGGCTCTTTGATAAGCCAAGGTCTTCAATGTTGTTGAAGAAGACCCCATGCATTGGCTTATCTTTGTGTTGCCGTAGAAGTGAAATGATCTCTGCGGCTTTTATATTAGCCGTTTGCTGAACAGGTTCCAACTTGATCACAGAGTGATGATCACCTCGTTCGAAAACTAAACTAAGTTCACCAGCTGCCCTAAAGAGAAATGCAACAATTCCTGCTCTCTCATGATCGCGGAGCATGCAGAGAAGGGGATCCGAACTCCTGACGACTTTACAGGCTCCATCCAGTACCATTCTGTCATGTAGACACTCCAAAATCAAAAGTCCACGGCTTCTCTGTTGTTGAGGGAAGTACAATCATGGAACGGACGATTTAGGATGCAAACTCCTATGGAGGTGCATCATTTTTCGGGTTTTCACGTCGAGTTGATACAGCTCATCCCGAGTCCACTTCACTAATCCAAACGAGTAGATTAAGATTGCAACGACAAGCATATTTGTTGCAACAACTTTGTTCTTCTCCGACAGTTCCGATGACCAGATCTGTCGGAGTTTGAGGTTAAACTTGCCGCGAAGAGAGTTCTTCACTGCTGTGAGTGGCGTTGTGTCACCCCGAGGTAAGTATATGTCTCTTTGGTATCTAGATGGAGTAGCATGCTTCTTTCTACAAGCTGCACATACTTTTCGTAGTCCCTGCATCGTCCTTTTTTGAGGTGGACCGTTGCACATTTGTTTATCCCAAATTTGTTACCGATAGCATGCGTGTACTCTTCCACCATCCACAAGGACTGATGGAGATCCTTTTCTCCACAGGCATACAGTTTAAGATCATCCAAATAAAACAAATAGGTGATCTTGTACCTCCAATTTCCGGGGGTGACACAGTTATACCCTGACCGCAACGGATAATGGCAATATTGAGATGCAGGAAATACTTTTATTATTATTTGGGTTTGATTCTTTCTTCGATTTAATTTCCATTTTTTGAGTTCTCTCATATAGAAAAAAGAATTGTGATATTCCGGATTGCCCGTTTAAAAAAAAACACATTTTTTAAACGACTGATAATTAAAAAAACCGCATGATGTAGACTTTTTGGCAGGTACTTTAGATATCTTGTAGAATCTGAGAGATTTAAGTGACGTTGAATAACTCCATATATTGCATATTATAAAGAGGGTCATGAATAAGTCAAAATGAATGCAATAATACGAGTTTAATAAAATTAATCCATCAGTTATGATTTCATTGTCTGTTCAATTTTATCTAGTTGCGTATTTCTGTACAAATTAAAATAAATGTTTCAAATTACCAAAAAATATGTTACTTTGACCATAACTCGACTAACATGATGATAACGAAATCAATTAGTGATAAGTGATAACAAGTAAGTGTAAGTGTTCGAACTGCCTTCCTTCACGTAGAATACACATATTGCATTTTTTTAGTAATTCCTGATTCGTGACAGCTAAAAGCGTCTCTCGCGTTATGGAAGCACAAACATTTGTGATATTATTTTTCAAATCCTCTACATTTTGTGGACGTCGCATATGAACTGAGTTTTTGATATATCCTCACAAAAAAATATAGTGGAGTAATATCTGGACTTCGAGCTGGCCATGATATTGGACCTTTATTTCCAATCCATTTCTCGTTAAAAGTATCATCCAAATATTGGGTAACTATTCTATTATTATGTGGAGGTGCCCCATCTTGTTGAAACCACATTTTCAGTCGAGTTTGTATTGGTAAATGCTCCAAGAAATTCAGCAACACATGTTGT